AGACTGATCTGAGGTACGTTGCTACATCTGAGTTCGCATTTGCTTTTCAGCTTGATGCCTTGATAACTGAGAATTAGCTTGCTAAGGTTTTCCTAAGATGCTTGTCACGGTGTTCATCTTTAGCGAGCATTTTGTTGAGGTTGCTGTGCCTGAATGAGAATGAAGGGGGCCGTTCATCCCTTGGTTATGCAGCCCCTTCATTTGTCCATACCAGTCAGAAGTGAGTGACCACTCTTGTTCACTTTTCCCTAACCAGAAGCTGGCTAATAGGTCTATTTAGAGGAGTGCAGAATTCCTGGAGGTGGGAATACTGTTAAGTCTAAGCAACATCTTGTGTGCTGTGTTTAAATTCTTCTCTTCCACCTCCACCAAAAATCCCGCCAAAATGCATCATTGCTGTTGGTGCCCAGAGGATCCCATTTTGCACGTTTATAATTGAAATCCCCTGATCTAACCTCCATCCTCCTAATTCCTGAATTCTGAAGAAACCCCTGTTAGAGCCTGGCACTGTTGCTGCATAATTGTATGGAGGGATTAAAGGTCTGTGACAGGCATTTCCCCTCTTTTCTAACACTGGATTTGAATCCGTGATATAGAGGGGGAAAGGATGCTTGTCTTCCAAGGGTGTGAGCATATGAGACCTTTAATGTATTGTGTTTTTATGGAGAAGAGGAGCAGAATCCAATTTTGCTGTCCTTTCCTTGCAGAAATCACTTCTACCAGTTTGGGGAGATCCGGACGATAACCGTGGTACAGAGGCAGCAGTGTGCATTCATCCAGTTTGCCACACGGCAAGCTGCGGAAGTGGCTGCTGAGAAATCCTTTAACAAGCTTATTGTCAATGGACGCAGACTCAATGTCAAGTGGGGGAGGTGAGCAAGTGGGAGAGGAAGAGGGGAAGCATTTTATTTCCTTTTTGGAGGTTTTCCTCTGGATATTGTTTTCGGAGAATCCACTCTTAACTTCAGAATCATGGGCTGTTCCTTATTCAACTCAAAAGCAGTCTTGGTGCCTTAGAACAGAAGCCAAGTGTGTAAAAGACCCAAATATTTACTGGGTTGCCTGTCTTTTGGTGGGGAATGAGGTGTTGGAGGGTAATTGGCGTTGGGTCTCTTTGAGAAATTCTATTTTGGGGTGGGTACGCTGCTGTCTGAAAAAACAGCACTAACTCCTTTCGTGCCAACTTACCAAGTCCCTGCTGCTAGCATTCTGTAAGCTCTTCATCCTTGGCCTGAAGCAGTGGGTCTGGGATTGGTGACGTAAAACACTCTCTTGTGAGTGTCTGCCCACTCTGCCACCTCCCTCTTCAGTTCTAATGCTTTTGGCTTTGATTTCAGGTCCCAAGCAGCAAGAGGGAAAGAGAAGGAGAAAGAAGGTACTACAGAATCTGGTATAAAGCTGGAGCCAGTCCCAGGACTACCTGGAGGTAAGGGAAATGGTTCCATACCAGTGACTGCCCTCTCAAACACAGAACAGCAGGTCACTTGCTGCCATGAGGCAGAACAGAGTTACACTTCTTAGTTTGCTCTCTATACCATTGGGAGCTGGGGCTAGTAGGGCAGCTGCACATTCCACTCTCAGAGCAGTTAGTGAACCTGGGTTCGAATAAGAGCTGGCTGGAGAGTCTTGTATTTATGGGCAATGAAGGGATCTTTGGCTAGAAAGAAATTCAAAGTGACTCAAGGCCTTTTTTACAGGGTGATTGAAAAGTTACAATGGTTAGAATAAAGGCACTTAAATCATTGAGACCTGTGGCATAAGCTCTGGTTGTGTGTTCTTGAGCCATTCAGTGTCATCTGTTGGGCAGGCAATCCCAGTCGTTCAGGGTAGGGGGGAGGGATAGCTCAGTGGTTTGAGCATTGGCCTGCTAAACCCAGGGTTGTGAGTTCAATCCTTGAGGGGGCCACTTAGGGATCTGGGGCAAAATCAGTACTTGGTCCTGCTAGTGAAGGCAGGGGGCTGGACTCGATGACCTTTCAAGGTCCCTTCCAGTTCTAGGAGATAGGATATCTCCATTAATTTAAATTTTAAAAAAAAAAATTTGATTCAGGTGGCTTTTTGTTGTGGAAGGGTCAGAGCCTGTGGAAGGGATCACGGCTGTTACTCTAGAGGTTCACTGGCATCTTGTGTCTGTTAGATACACACTGCTAACAAAGTTCCTGTCAGGAGAGCTGGTTGCAGCCACTCCCCTTAGAGCCAAGGGTGGGTACTTGCTTATATTTTGCCTGCTAGCTTTCACCAGTAACCAAGGGATGTTTGTGTCTTGAAGCTCTTCCCCCTCCTCCAGCTGCAGAAGAAGAGGCGTCTGCAAATTACTTCAACCTACCTCCCAGTGGCCCTCCAGCGGTGGTTAACATTGCCCTGCCCCCACCTCCCGGCATTGCTCCGCCCCCACCTCCAGGTAATTCCCTCCCCCTTCCCCCTCAGTGAGGAGAGGTAGAACTATGTCCTTTACCAAAGAGGCCTGGAATCAATCCCTACTTGCCAGATTACCTACTAGCCGGTGCCCTCTATTGTAGTTTTGTGTGGTACCTACTAAGTGCGATCTGGGTTTATGAAACAGCTTGTGCTGTAGAACTGGGTCTGTTAGACAGAACTGCCTGTGCGGTAATATGTTCTCTTCAAAATTCTGCAGTACCCAGGAGAATCCCATAAACTGTGCTGAGGCCCACCCTGCTTAGCTGATAGCCATGTAAACCCCATGTTGTCCCTAACATTTAGGAGTGACTCTAAACAGACAGAACGTTCGTGTCAATATTTGACTGTTTGTATATTCAAAACGTGAAGCTTTTTCCCTGTGGCACTTCAGGAGGGTTGAGTTTGTCCAAATGCGCTGGATGGTCTTGTTACCCGAATACGTCTGGTGTGCTCAGTAGTGAAAACAAAACGTTCAGAAGTTCATACTATAATAGGGAGCAGGGGACCAGCACTCGCAGAACTGGAATCTGCACTGTCACTGACTAGCAACGTGTCCTCAGCTGTTCATTATGCTGCCAGAAAGGTTAAAAGGGAGTAAATTGGGATTCCTCAGGAATTGGTGAAGGAGGAGAGGGGGCACCCTTTCCGTGGGCTCAAGTATGTTTTGCTTATCTGGCTTGAATGACAAATAGGCAACAGTAAAATACTTCATCAGGACGCCTGGTAATCTGACACTTGTGTTCTGTGTCTGCAGGTTTTGGACCACACATGTTCCACACCATGGGGCCTCCACCTCCCTTCATGAGAGCCCCAGGCCCCATCCACTACCCTTCTCAAGATCCACAGAGGATGGGTGCCCACGCTGGGAAGCACAACACTCCCTAGCACCCCATTGACCTGTTCACCGTTTGAGTAGATGTCATTTTTTTTGGTTACCATGGTAGCATAATATGTTCAGCTGTGGGCGAGCTGGAGACTAAGCCTTGCTTCCTGCTTGCACACACAGGGCAAGCTGAGCTCTGTTTTGTTGCAACTAGCTAATCTGGTCATTCATATAACCTGAATCATTCACTTACTATCGTGGGTGGGTGGGTGTGGGGGAGGAATGTGGAGAGACGTGATCTAGAGGGTCCATGAATGAATTGTACTAGAATTACAATCCCATCAGTGTATTCAATTTTGCACATTTTGAAATAAATTTGTCTCCTGGGAAAAAAACACACCTTCAGCCGGTTTGATAGCCTCAGCAAGTTCCACCCTGGAATGGATTGGGGTCTCTTGTGCAGACTTAACTGGAGATTTTGCTAGTAATATTCATTCCGGAGTCAAATAACTAGTGATTCATGATTGAAAAAAGATACCAGGTCCTCTAGCACTAAGCCAGAACGCTCCAAGATAACACTGAGGGGAAAGGAAACTAGCCTCAGGGGCACAACTTCCAGGGATTTCTCCTTCTTACTGTGACTTTTTTCTCTCTTTTTCGGGTTGCTTTTCTTCTGATCGTGAGAAACTGGAGAATCCTAAGCCCCTATAGTCAGTCAGTTATGTGCTCGGTAATGCAAACAATTCCCCTACTGCCAATTCCAGCATGACCCAGACAGATGCTCAAGCAGCCATCTATTTCATATAGGCCAGCTGGGACCTTCCTGCCCCTCACCTTGGGGAATGAACATTGTTACTGAAACTGCCAGGAATGAGGCAGCAGTAATACTGCAAGCTCATCCAGTCTGAACTATGGCTTTTGTGGCCTTTGCGTAAAATGGCTCAAGCTGTGAAATGGACCAAACCATTTTTCGTTTGATAGGTTGTGTGATGTGATTCTTTTTTTTTTTTTTAAGAGCTCTGTGTTCAGCATTCACCCTGGAGCATCTGTTCTCTGTATAAAGTCTGTAATTTAATACAGTGCATAGGAGTCCAGGTGGGGGATTTTAAAGTACCAAAGTCTGTTGCTTTGATGTAACTGATCTGTAGATATGTTTTGGTAAACAGACACGTGTGATGAGATAACGCCTTATTTACTTGTTTTTGGTTTTTAATTAAAATGGGCAGATTTTCCAAATGTTTGGACCCTGCTTCCAGAGGCAGAATTTGTCTGAGTATTGTCTGACCTTGTTTGGCTGAGCCCTCTGATGAAGAGTGGCGTGAGAAAGCGAGAGTACAGCCCCAGTTCTGCTTCACCACGCTGCACTTTGGAATGCTTAGGTGCATTGTGAAGTTCTGACGTTGTAGGCACTATGTCGGATCTTGCATAGGAGAGTACAGTACTCTAGGGGGTGCCCTTGGTTAGTGCACTGGCTTTTCATCTCTGGAGACTTGGGTTTAAACTTGGCATAGGTTAGAGGGAAATGAGTGTTGCTGGTCTCAGGTTTAGCCCTCAGTCAGTAAAAATATCAAAATACAGCACAACTGGGTACTGTTCAGCAGCTCCCAGAATAGCATGTTACAGGACAGGCTTTTGACGATCCATTGACAGATCTGTGTGGGGGAAGCTGGCACAGCACCTGCTTGTACTGGGCTTGACTCAAGCCAGTCAGTGTCTTATTCTGCAAGCACTAATTTGACAAGTATTGAACGGAGACAAGTTTTCAAATATAGCTGATTTATTTTCTGCCACCAGATTTCTGAATGTAAACATGGCCTCCAGCTCACAGGCAAAGGGGAGGGAGATGGGCTCAGAGCTGGACAGTACTTCATAGGCATAAACCTTTAAACTCTTAAACTGGCTTTTTTACTTGTTCAGTTTGGCCAGGTGTGCTTCTGGGGGCGGGCAGAGGAATGAATGTTCCCCACGTGAGTGTTGCATTGCAGTGGTGAGTGCCCCAGGTTGTAATTAACTGAGATGCATGCTTTTCCTTTGGATGGTCTCGTTGGCATTAGAAACACAGTGGTTGTATGTTACGTTATTTACAAATAAGGCAGCCTTTTAAAATTGCACTTTTACCAGCCTGGATACAAAATTACTTGCCTAGCCTAACCACAATGATGCAAAAATATATATATTACTCACCCATTAAAAAAGAAAACAAGACCAGTTTTGCAAGGTTACAGTAAGATTATCGTCAGAATTTGACAAAAACAACTAAACAAATGTAGAAAGTGCATAGTTGAGCTGGAGCTTTTCTATTAGCCAGGGCGAGTGGGAGTGTTCGGAACATACATGGGTTCTGCTCTGCCCTTTTTTTTGGGTAGCATTCTTCCTTTGATGGATAGCTCTGTTCTATATACTGTGCTTGTGTGCATTCAAAAGGCTGTGGTCAAAACACCATTGTTGACCACTTTCTGCATGTGTTGCATGAAGGTCTTGCTTGCCATAGAGGTGTTTGTTATGTAGGATGTCCTCTCTTCCCTAGTGGTACCACATTAATGTTTTTATCAAGCATTGATTTGTGTGATCAGATTGGCAAGTACTTAAATACAGAATCGTTGTTTTTTGGGGCTGCACCAATTGTGTACTGCATCTTAAATTGGCAGGATCTGATCCTGACTATTATTGAAGTAAAAAAGAAAATCTGAGCAGCATCAGGCCCTCCATAGATAATTGTAATCAAGTGGTGTAAATATTAAAACCGTGGTGTGTAACCTCATACAGCAAGTTGTTAGAGGTAGGAAAGGAAGTGTAACACACCAATCAGAAGCTAGCAGGGAAAATGGCATAGGTTCCTGATTCTCCTAGTTCGGGTATTGGTGATCTCAAGCACTCCCTTCCCTCATATGCAGTACGTGTTTCTGCCTGACAGCCAGCCCCGCACACCCAGCCCTGTGTTTGGTTTCTTAGTGGAGTTAGATGTAATTTCCTTTAACATGCTATCTCCTTATGTGTCAGAAAGCCATTAGTAACTTATTTCACCCACATTCCCCAATTACCACGCTGCCTTATCCCCCTCCTCCCCCCGCCATCTCAACCAAAATTACATTTTTACAGCACTGCCCTTAAGCTGGGATTTCTCTGAGCAGCCACCACCTGTCAATGCTGGTGTCAAATGTTCCAGCAGAACAATTGCAAGGCGACTTGATGTGATGACAACTGGCTCTTCTGCCATTTGCCACAACACTGGAGCGAGGACAATGTGTCTGCTCCAATCGGATTGTTCCGTAGTATAATGATGGATGTGGAAGTTTACTGGAATCCCCTTGTTTTATCAATGAGAACTTGGCTGGTCAATAACGGACACCTAGGAAAACCTTGTAACGGGGTAGCCCAGGAATGGCTCTAGAGGTGAGCTTGCTGGGGGCTGTGTGTGGAAGTGGATGACCTACTGTGCCACTGAGCCGTCACAGGGTGCACGGGTAAGAATATCTACTCCCCTTTTCTGCTGTGCTGAGGAGTACCTCTACCAGCGATTTAAAACAAAGCATGTTTGAGTCTAGCAGATAAAGCATCTGTGGGGTAGGAGAGGGGAGTAAGATTACATTACAGCTCTTCTGTCTCTGGTAAAATCCGTACCCAGCCCTGGGGTGCTCTGTTAAAGCTGGGTCTATTCCAGACGAGCTCCATGCTGTTCGGGGTGTCTGTCTGAGCCTCCATCTCCAACCCAGGCACAGTGAACATGTCATTGAGCAGCACTCCACCAAACGGGGTCGGAGTCCTGCATGCACAAAGGAAGAAGATTTAGCATTTTCATGGGGTTGGGGGTCTACTTCTCTTGGTAGCCACGGATGGAAAAAGCACTTGGGACTAGCTGCTCCTTGAGCATCCAGTAGCAGCCTTGTCATCTAGCAAGAGCCATCAATTGCCACCCCGTGTCATGAATGGCAGCTGTACTCCTTCCAGCCACCACAATCCCCACCTACTCTGTTTCCCTCAGCCCCTCAAAAGATTCACCTCTAGACTGAGCCTCAGTCAGCTGGCCCTCATCCAAACTCCTGCAGAGAGACAGGGTCGCTTGTCCCACTACCTCAGCGCCCTTGGTTGAGATGGCAAGGTAGAGCTGGGTGTCAGCCCCCACAGCTACTCCACCCCACTTCCCCTTAGCAACCCTGCCAGCCTCCACGTATGTGTTGAACAAGGAGAGGCATGAGAGAGGTGGTGCTGAATGTTAGGCCTTCATTTAAGGCAGAGCACTGTTTTGGGGGCAGCAGTAAAGGCTGACTGTGGGATGTATCTGCAAATGTCTGCTTTGGAAAGCATGCTCTGGTACATTGTCTAATCTGTTACTTGAGTAACGTGGCATCGTGTCTCACAGCAGCATCCCAGGGATTGCATGTCTGAGCCCCGCTTCTGGGGGAAGTGTGGATGGTGAAGACTTGTTCCAGAAATGCTCGGTACTCCTTGGGAGAACCGAGCATTTCTGGAACATGTGGCAAGGTCGTTCTCAAAGCCTTGTGTTACAGCTCACGTAGGGCAGGTACCATCTCTGTGAGCCTCTTCAAGGTCTTTCATCACCCCTCTCCCTTTTGTAAGTAAACCAGCCTGCTTGAATTCAGTCATTGGAGAGGCCGTGAACTTCCCACTGGTCTATTACAAATGTGAAATACTCCAGGGTTCATCTTGCTTCATAGGCAGGATTTCTGTCTTCTCGCTTAACACAAAAGGCAGCATCCGTTTTGCTAACAGCTTTGGGTTGGATTTGTTTGGGGTGGGGGGATAAGATCAAATGAAAAGAGGTGATTTTCAAAATCAGGACCTTAGATCCACAAGGATCACATGTTTTTTTAACTCAGTTTAAATCTGACGTCTGTAAATTCAGCTTCCCGGCACTTTGTGCCTCACTGAGGAGTTAAAATGGAGGTGAGAGACTTGGCGTTAAATGAGCATCTAGCTGTATTAAATGTCAGTTTAGGGCTTTAAATAGAAGAGCAGCAGTTCAGAGGGGAAATAACACAGGGTGAAGCTAGGCAGCCTTACACATCATATAGAAACATGCCCGTTTGAGTTTCTGTCCAGAAATAAATACTGAGCCCAGGGCCGAGAAACATGACCAGCCCGAGAAATTAAAGAACAAGTGACTGCAGCACCTCACCCGTCCCTCTACAGCGTATGCCTGATGGAGCTGGGGACGGGAAAAATTCTAAATATTTGAATACGTTGGGTGGTAAGGAAATCACAATAGAAACCCCTTGGCTTTTCCACCCTTTGCTTCCGGCTGGCAGCATCACTTCCACCATGGCCTTGCTTTCTGCTAGCTAGCTCATGTGCTCCCTGCTAGTTACCCCGGGTCTGGTGTGGGAGGGGGTTGGCGAGTCCCTCGCTAATATCTTACATTTATACAACACCTTTCATCTCCATAACTTCCTGCATGACTCATGCAGCCACCTTAGGGTTCGAATAAGGCAGCTGGTTAATGGGGCCCACCAACATTGTACAGCAGCTTAGGGCAAGAAGTGAGGAGGAACTCCGCATCATCTGAAACTGTAGCAAGAATTCAGCTAGGCAGGATGTAATTATTCAAACAGCAGTTTGGCTGGGGGACCAGGGTGAACCCCAGACCTACGCTCATGAAAAGGGATTTTTGGATCCTCAGTGACCAGAAGGGGTCAGGGCCTCGGTTTTATGATTCAGCTAAAAGATGTTGCTATGTAAGTTCAGTGCCCCCAACTCCAGGCTAGGTTCCTTATTCTCTACTGACTGAGAAGTGAGAACGCTTCTACTGGAACCCCACTCCTGCTGTCTGCAGAACCTGGGATTCCCTTGGCAGTCTCCCATCCGAGGACTTTACAAACCCAGCCCGCATAACAAAGAGGAAGGTTAACTCTTGCACGGAGTGCCTGGGGCTGCACCCTTTGCTGGAGCCACTGGTAGAAGAATTGTGAGAGTTCAGTCTCCAGTGTGTGGCTGGAAGGAATCAGGTGACTTTTTAGCACCTTGCATAAGGATTAACCTAGTGTCCTAGCTGCTTCTGCAGCTATCTGTCACCTTGTGAAAACTAGCCTAGCGCATGAGCTGTCACTTAGCGTGGCCATGGCCTAACAGGTGTGGGACGGAGACTGCTCTGAGCATAAGGGCCAACTCTGTGGTTGCTCCATGGCTCAAGCACCCATGGAAAAAAAATAGGGGGTGCTCAGCACCCACCAGCCTCACTGGTTCCAGCCGGGGCTAGCCGCCGGTCAGCTGTTTGTGTCCCATTGCAGAGAAGTTCAGGCTGCCCCATCTCAGTTTTGTGCTGCATGAGACCCCTGTCCTGCCCAGCCTTTCCCAGGGGCGGTTGCTACAACAAGCAGCTAAAATGGGGTTGCAAGAAAAATTGCAAATAGCAGCTCGTAGCAAGGTCTCCAGCCACCTTTTCATCCCCAAGCCTGCCCTAGGCCGAGTCCTCCATCAGCTCAGAATCCCCAGCATATCCCAGCAAACATGGTGGATGTGTCAGGTGACCGTTACCTGTTGAAGCTCCTCAACTCGAAGTGGCTGGGTTTCCTGGGCAATTCAGGCAGCTGGCTCTTGCTCTCCATCCGGTAGTCCTCACTGAAGAGGAATTCCTGCCATGGGGAACAGTAGCCCTTGGGGATGGCAGTGAAGTTGAACTTCTCTGGTGGGACTTCCTTCAGCGGTCCAGAGTAGCCTGCGTTTGGGAGACAAGGCTTTTGTTACTACAGCAGACCGGCAAGGCAGCAGCCAGCTTCACTGGATCGTCAGGCCTGCCCGGGACTGTCCTCATGTGGACAAGACCTCTCCCCTCCCATGGGAAGGGCTGGGAGAGCAGTGGAGCTGGCCAGGACATGTGTTTTCCCATGAAAAAATGTAGAGAAAAACTAATTTTTTTCTTTTTATCAAAATGTTTCTTTTGTCCTATCACCGACATTTCAGATTGTTGGCGTTTTTTTTTGACAAATACCTGAAAAAACTTGGCAAAAATGTATTAGTTTAAAAAAAAAAATTTCATTTTTTTAATCCAAAAACCCAACTCTTTTTTCCATTGAAAAAACACTTTGGCAGACAATGCCCAGTCAGCTGTAGTGACTAGACTACATCTCTGCAAGTGACATCTGTGGTGGCGAGGGGGAGGGGAAAGGAGGCTCTCCTTGCCACAGGGGATGGCTGTTCCCTGATTGGTTATGGGTGGGGTCCTCATGTTCTGCCACTGGGAATCATGGGGGCCACACCCCTTCTATTGATAACAAGTTCTGCAGGTCCGGCTCCTCATTCCTTCACTGACGTAGCTCCGTCATGGTGTTTTTTCTGTGGGCAACTCCTTACCTGGGGCCAGAGACTCGGGATTGAGGGCTTTACTCATTTGTAGGACTTTGTTTGTCTTCTTGGGCACTTTGGGAGGGGTCCCCTGGCCTGCTGCTGCCACGTGAAGCTCAGTGTGATAGTTCTCCTGGCCCTGGGCAGACTAGAGAAGAAAGAGCAATAGGAGAAGGCTGTGGACAGGGCACCAGGAGAGGTCTGCTTCGCTTTGCCCCTGACAACTGAGGTAAGGTCTTGTGGAGAAGATGGGCAAAGGGCAGGGAAGGAGACTTAGTCACGTCTCCTGAAGGGTGATCGTTTTTTATATTGCACTAGCTAGAGCCAGGCATGGTGTGGCCAGGTGCGGTGCAAGAACTCCCCACATGCACTTCTGCTAGCGCGCCTTAATGCGTTGCTGCAGCATCCCCTGCTCTGCTAGCCCCAGAACGTCACACGATTCCACCAGTGGCCCTCAGTGAGGACCTACCGGCCCCCTGTTTTCTAATCTTTGGTCCTTTCCAAGACACTTGCATGGTGAATTTGTGATGAACTGCTAGCATCTTGGAGGAAAACTACCACCTTGCTTCACTTTTGCCTGCCCCCCTGAGATTGTCAACCCAGGCCTCCAGCCATGGAAGGATACTTACAGAGGTTGGACCCGTGGGGCTCCTGCCTCACTCAGAAAGAAGGAGAAAATGAAATCCGGGTGAAATACGCGTACCTTCATCCCAACTGACTAGGCCAGCATGCAGAGCAGGCCCCAGAGGGCCACTTTCCAAAGTGCCTTGATGCAAAGAGCATGCAAGCACCCTGCTGCAGGAGGTAACAGCAGCCTGCCAGCCCCCTCGCGGCCCTTTCCAGCATGTCCTTGCTCAGTGAACGCAGGGAAAGTGACAGGACGCCAGGCAAAGCACTGACCTAGAGCTGCCAATGAGGCTACTTCAGTAACCTCGCTCCAGCCCAACTGGCTAGCGCCGTCCACTGCTTCTCTTTAAATAACGGTGCCCCAGGGACACTCACCAGCCACGCGTCCGGTCTTCCCGCCAGGTCCCCCTCAGCCGCGCCGTGCGAGCCGCCTGCTGCCATCCTGCTTGAGCTCTGCGGAGGGCAGGGGGACCGACGTCACTCTCTGAGGGGAGCAGGCCCCACACGCAGCCCCAGTGCTGTCAGCGTAAGGGCCGGCGATGCACGTGGTTTCAGAGTCCCGTTTCCTGGCTCTGCCAAGGGGATCGTTTCCACAGACACTGGCCACAGCAGCTGGCAGTGCCCTGTGGTGACAGCCCGGCTCTCCTCACAGCTTATGGCGCATGGGCCCACAACAAAGATGGCTGCCTCCCCCTCACACTCCTTCCCGTTAAAACATGCAGTTACAATAACTGCGCAGGGCTTCCTGTTAACTCAGGGATCCTCATATCCTGGGCTAAGAGGGGCCCTGGTAGGCCAGGGTGCTGGCGTAACGCGTGAGTGTTACAGCTCCCCCTCCGTGCTGATCTAGAGGACCGGCTTTATTACAGCCCTCCTCCATTTCTAGAGCTTCAGCTCAAGCTGCAGCAGCTCTTGCCCTTAGCTCTGGAGGTCCCTGGTTCAGTCCCCGGACTGTCAGACAAGAGCGTGACCATCATGCTGACCCAACAGGGTCAGCTGAGATTTGGGTTCCCATCACGATGAGGCGACTCACGGCTCTGTAGCCAGTAGGATGCTCCAAGATGAACTTCTGCACCCGCTTCTGCCTCTGTTGGAACAGCTGGGAGCCCCTGTTGGTCTGCAGAGACAGCTCTTCCATCATCAGATCCTGGGGGGTGCTGACCTTCTTCCCCAGGTCCAGCTGGGGGACTGAGGACACACACACAGCAGGGCAGTGAAAGCACAGGTGTTGCAATAGGGGGTTAGGCTCTGAGCGAGGGGCCAGTGGCTGTGCATGGGGAGCCAGCAGAACCTCGCTCTGGGGAGAGGCGAGGAGAGGGTTTGATTGACTCAGCCCCTAGGAGTGACAAACATCTGGCATAGCTCTGCAGGGCCCATCAGGCTGGTTCAGAAACTGCATTGATGGGAGCCACATCCAGGCAAAGAGGTGGGGACCAGGGGGCCTTGGGGGGGGAATGAAAAGGGAGGATAGTAAGGGGATCCTGGCGCCGGGAAGGGCTCAGAATAACCTCTAGCGATCTGGGGTATGGGCCCCATTAGTGTTAATTGACAATGTACCGTTCGTTCGTTTGGAAAGTCCAAGGAGGAGACCAGTAACATTAATACCCCTGAAGTCCAGGGGATTTTTGCCAGTGTCTTCAATGGGAACTGGATCAGCCCCAGTGGATTGCATGGGGCTACTCCGTAAGTCAGTTTAGCACAAGGCATCTCTTACCGTCTCCCATCATCTCCCTCACGATGGCCATCGCCTGCCTTTTTCTCTCTCGGGTGTGGTCCGAATGCATAATTGGGAACATCTTCTCACCTGGAAAAGAAGCAGAAGCCCAGCAGGGCTCACACATCAGGGCAGACCCTGGCTGCTACTCACACGTTACCCCCAGTGTGCCAATTGCCCCGTCCCTGGGAAGAACTGATCCCAGGTGCAGTTCTGAGGTTCGTGTGATGGCTTTTTGCAAACGGTTACCCTGGGGCCCAGCTTTGCTCCCTTTTGGAAAATATGCACAAAACCAGAGAGAATGCAGCTGGAAAAAGGGGGTTTCTCTTCCGCTTTATGGTCATAGGAACTGTATCATGCCACCACATCACCCCAACTTCACTGCAAACATCTCCCATTCATTTCAGGACCAGCTCTCCATGTCTCTAACACTATAGAGCTGTTCCAAGTGACCACATCCTGGCCCTCTGTGCTCTCCTCCCCGTTCTCCCCACTATTCTTGGATTAGCTTCTCTCCAACCCCTCACACGCTTCGCCATTGCTGGTGCGAGAGCCTTCTTCTCCGTAGCTCCTGCCATCTGGTGCCGTCTCCTGCAGCAACTCGCCATCTGAAATCTCTTTGCTACTTGCTCATGCCTCTTAATTCTGCCCTCCGTTGCTGGCTTTATGATTGAGCCACTTAATGTATTCCCTAGGCCAAGATTTTGCACCAAGGCTCTCTGTCCCTGATACAATGCACCGGCCTGCATTAAACTCTGCCAAGCACTGTGGGGGGCTGTCTTGTACGAAAGACGCTATTCAAAATATACAAATTAAGGTTGCATTGCATTGTATACTGAGCTTTCTGAGCTCAGCTACCCCTCTGCTTAGGCCCTGAAGCAAGAGCCCTTGTGACTGTTAGATTAGCTGGCTGGTGCCACGTTTATTCATAAGCGTCTGCTCCTTTATGTTTAATTTTGCTGTGACTTAATGCCTTGCACTGGTGAGTTTCACAAGCTAATGAAAATGTTGCATGTTTCCTTATATGTATTTTAGGGCTGTATTCTACCCTAAGTCATGGTACAAAACCAATGCTTGGAACATGGGCAGAACAGGGATCTATGATTTGATCGATCAATCATATTTCTGTGCCATCTAAGCCTTTTAACTTGTACCCTCCTGAAGGCAACAAGAAGCTCAAATCAGTCACTTTTGCTCTGTTTGCAAGTCAGCCCCCGGGAAGGCCCTCACTGGGCGTTTCTTTAGAGAGGAAAAAATAGTCCCCATCTCGTTCCTCCCCCCACACCACCCCCGTAGAATCACAGACTCATCAAAGTGTCGGGCTAGAAGGGATCTCAAGAGGTTCTCTAGTCCATCCTGCTGCACTGAGGCAGGATTAAGTATATGTCTTCCCCCATGTGGTGCACGAACGGATGGGGTCCCCCTGCCTGAACGGGGCAGCAGGCCAAGTTGGCAGCACCCTGCTCTGCTTTGTGGGTTTCACTATAGAGGCCATGTCTGCTCCTCGCTGCTCCCTGAGCTCCCATTTAGCCACAGTCTATTTTAAGCTCCTGACCTCGGTAGAGCGGGGAGTTGTAACCCTGATCCTTTGGGCAAAGAGGACGGCGCCTGGTGGTTCTTGGGAGGATGGTCTCGGCAAGCTGGGGAAGCCGGAGGGCTAGGTCGGGAGATGCTGGGCTCCCCTTAGGAGAGTCTGATGGGAGTTTAAGGCCCTGCAGGTGCCGCAGCATTCCTAGCAAGCGACTGCTACAGCCATAACATAGAGCCACAGGGGCTGCTTGTACAGGGAAGGGGGGAGTTGATACTCTTGATATATGGCAGCTCCTCTAGGACTCGGTGACCCAGGGGGAAATCCTCACCCCATTGAAGTCAATGGGACTTTTGTCCTCGCTTTCAATACAGCCTGGATCCCCACCCCCCAGCGATCAGAGGACGCACAGCTTCCCCACCCCTAGCACAGCTTGAAAGGGGGAACTGGCCTCCCCACCCGCAGTCATGCGGGGTCCTTGCCTGGCAAGATCTCTGGACTCAGAGTGGGTTCGTGTTCCACTCCCTATTTCTAGTGTCGCCAAGCACTGGCGTATGGGTTTGCCATTGCCCCTCCAGAGCCCAGCCAACGGGTCTGAGAGAGCTCCTATTCACCCCGCCCCATTATCCAAGAACTAGAGTCACTCCATGGAATTGAAAGGCAGCAAATGTCAAGCAACTGACAGAAAATGCTTTGCTCACCACAGCCTGTGGAACTCACTGCTGCAGGGTATTATGGAGGCAAATACCCCATTTCCAACAGGCCGAACGCACAGCCACGGATAAGATTAGCCTCTGCAGCAGCACTAGTAAGGAAACATTACAAGACACCTCATGCTCCAGGGTATCAGCTGATCACCAGCTGGGTGCAGGAACAAACTTCCCCTCCAGTGCAACTGGGGCCATTCTGGGGGTGTTAGTCTCTGCAGCATCCAGTATGAGCCACTGTGGGAGGCAGGGTATGGGGCGAGATGGCCCATTGGCCTAGCTGTGCATGTGAGTAGCCATTTCTCTGTAGTGTAGCCAACAACTCCACAGCGCCGCCCCCACCCCCCCAGCTCCCATGTCCTGGGCTGCTGCCTATCTTGCCCACAGCAGCAGCTCCCTGAGAGCTGCAATGCCTGCTTTGCTAGCCCCCATAAGGGGGTTCCTCAGATTACACCTAATGAATACACCTAACCACCTCCCCAGCCCTCCCCTCTTCCTCGGGCTCAGGGATGGAGAGCCCCCATGCCCAGATCTGCTGTGTGGCACTCAGGGAGCCAACCGCTGGCGTGGCGGCTTCTCACTGTGGCTCCTCCACGTCCATTTGCTCATGTCACCTGCACTTGTGTCTTTTCGATTGTAAACCTCCCAGGGCTGGGAGGGGCTAACTCTGGGTCCGGGTTTGTACAGTGCCAAGCACACCGGGGCCCGGGCCCAGCCCCTACCGAAATAGATGTGGGCAATCTGCTGGGGTGGTGGTATTTCCTCAACACCCGAACACACGAACGCAGGTCAAAGCCCTCTCCTGCCCAGCTGTCAAGATTCTCCTCACCAGCACCAGATACCCTGTCCTATTTATAGGGCCCTACCAAATGTACGGCCATGAAAAATGCGTCACAGACCATGAAATCAGGTCTCTCACCGGGAAATCTGGTCGTTTGTGTGCTTTGACCCTAGACTATACAGCTTTCACAGGGGAGACCAGCATTTCTCAAATTGGGGGTCCTGACCCAAATGGGAGTTGCAGAGGGGGGTCACAAGGTTATTTTAGTGGGGGCCGCGGTATTGCCACCCTTACTTCTGCGCTGCCTTCAGAGCTGAGCATCCGGAGAGCGGTGGCTGTTGGCTGGGTGACCACCTCTGAAGTCAGCGCCCCGCCAGCAGCAGCGCAGAAGGGTGGCAATACCATACCATGCCACCCTTACTTCTGCGCTGCTGCTGGCAGCGGCTCTGCCTTCAGAGCTGGGCTCCCGGCCAGCAGCTGCCACCCTCCGGCCACCCATCTCTGAAGGCAGGGCAGCAAGGGTAGCAGCACGACCATCACCCCCCCTAACCTCGTGACCACCCCCACAACTCTTTTTTGGGTCAGGACCCCTAGAATTACACTGTGGAATTTCAGATTTAAATAGCCGAAATCATGACATTTACAATTTTTGAAATCCTATGACAGTGAAATTGACCAAAATGGATCCTGACTTTGGTAGGGCCCTAACTATTAACTTTCCAGGTTCCAGCCCCCAGTGAGTCTGAGCTGAGCCAGCCACACGGAGGCTAACAAGCGGCTGCGGGAAGACAGCCTGCTCCTCGTGGGGGTCAAACTCCAGTGTGCTGCTGAGTTCCCTCCTGCTGCTGCTGAACGTAGCAATTCTCCCCGTCCCGTGCTATTCCCCCCGCCCCCCGAGTTCAGAGCCCAGCTCTTCGTACCTGACTGTGTGACTCCTTGGACGCTGTCTTGCTGCGATGCTGTTAGATGAAAGGAGCTTTCCTGCTGCGCCCGCTCCGCCCAGGGACTAGGCCTGGGTTTGGGATTCCTTAACAGCTTTCACAAACCTACCCCAGGGCCCAGTGTTTGCCGGTAGCCCCTGTGTCTTTCTTACCCCCTCTGTGCCCTGCTCGCACTCAGCCTGGACCATCGCTGAGATTCCTCGGTCCTAATCCATGTTACATCAGACATTTATTTCTGGCTGAGAAAGGGGGCGGAGGCAGCACAGACCCTGGTGAGCCAAGCTCCAGACCGTTAAGAGCGCGCACACACACACACACACACACACACACAGCCATATGTGTGCACCCAGGTAAGGAGTTTACACACAAATGCATAAACATGCCCGTGTATATGGAGGCATTAGCGATGGTACAGCACTTCAAAGACATACAGTGCCAGGGAAGTGCTAAATGCCCTAGCGGGGGATACAAACGAATGCAGGCACGAGAGAAGGGAAGCTAGAGGCTTTCTTCAATAATGCCAGGGCAAAGGGGTATTTGATTAAAATCAAAGGCAACCCATTTACGATAAATACAGGGGAATACTCTGTTATGCGCTTCTTATTTATTATCATTATTTTTGGAGCACAGAGTACTTTGCAAAACACAGAGACAGAAAAGGCCCCCTGCCCCAAGCTGTTTACTCTAGAATTCAAATGAAGGGCACAATAAAATCTGCGGAACTCATTGCTACAGGATATTATGGTGGTAAACAGTACAGTTCACAAGCGTGTTAGCGATTTAGAGGGGTAAGAATAGTATCTGCAGGGCCAGTAACGAGAATCAAATTACAAGAGGACACAAACTTCACAGTTCAGGCCTAAGCTGCTCACCAGCTGGGGTCAGGAAGAGTGGCTCCCACGCTTGGCCGGGCTGTGGGATAGCACCGCACAGCGAGGTGCAGGCCTGGAGCTTCCTGAAGCATCCCATTGGCTGCTTTGGGCTCTTATTTAGACTCACATCTGTGTAATAATACCAAGAGGGAGGGGGGGTTGTTTCTCCAGCTCACAAGCCCCTCTTGAGGAGCCTTCTCAGTCCAGTTTGTAGGAGGAGAGAGCAGGAAAGACCCCCCATACTGCAAACATACATGCTGCCATTACTGGTTGAGAGGCTCATGCCCGCCAGCTCTGAGCCGCCTGATGGGCCCTGGCTCCTACCCAGCCCGGCCCGAGGATCTGTGCATTCCAGCCAGCTCAGCTCCAGCCTTCCACCGCTAGGGACATTGGGCAAAGCTTTTCCCCAGCTGCTGATACGGGTTCAAATCCACCACTGGCTCAATTGACCCGGTGGCCTATGGCCCCCACGGCTCCCGGTGGCACTCACCCCGGCAGCTAGCGACAGCGGGGGATTATTTCCCTAGTGTAGATGAGATTCCTGTATCAGCCCATCCCCCCTGTGTGGGGCTCTGACACTGACCATTCAAACAGGGAGCAGCTGACTAAACCCAAATGAATTGGGGGGCAGGGAAGGGGGACTCCAGGGGGGGGGGACACACAATGGGAGATGCTCATTCAGCTTTGCTGCCACCTGGTGGCCGTTCTTTATCACTGCAGGTTTAGGGTAGGAAAGGCCTGCTGCAACCCATCCATTGTAGCTAATTAGCAATAGTCAAGTGTGCTTGGCAATTCCCCTAGCATCCTTATTCGCTGCCCATCCAGTCTGTGGGTACCTCCAGCAACAGTGATGCCATGGTTCCCCTGGCAGCTCTAAGGCACCACGGGCGAGATCATTGTGGCAGCGTCATGGGCCCAGGGAGCAGGGCTGGGAATGGTGAGACTCACCCAATCCACGGGGCACACTGCCATTCCAATGACAATTGCATCTGCAGGCAACGCTGCCCCTGCACTCTCCTTCTAGCGCCTCTGTGACGCCATTGGATTATGCCAGCACCGCGCTTCAACGGGCCACCTGCTCCCTCCCCCAAACGCCTCCTGCGAGCACTGTGGGGGGGCTCCGGTTCTAGTGGGGCTGAGTGGCAGGGGATGTGTGTCCAGGGATGGGCTCACAGATTAGGTTTGCTGTTAGACAAGACAGGGATACTGAGCTGTAGGGAGAGGCAGCCTCCATCCCTAGGCAGGGCTGGGTATCAGCCCACAGCGCTCCCTCGTCCGTCACACCACATGGCAGCGGTGCACGAGCGGGAGCTGGCGCACCAGCTTTTCACCTTGCCCCTGCAACTGGGACAGGAACAAACCTGGGAGCCTGGGGAAGGTTCCATCCTCTTCCTGCAGCAGGGCCTTTGCTACCCCAGAC